TGGGTGAAATTAGTCTTTTGCGTCTGCCGCTAACTCGCTTTCAAAGAATTCTGGCTCGTGTTGATGATCTTCGAGTTCTACCGTTATAACCCCAAATATACGATTTCCTCGCTTACGTGTATCGAGCAAGTCGGTCCTAGAATGGCAAGTGTTCGGTAGTGCTTTCCGACTCAGTTTGGGTCGCGCGATGTACCCCTACTGTTTTGGATGCGGCAGCAGCAGGGTGTACGCTGGGTTCGGACAGCCGTATTTCCAGACTACAAGTTTGACACCTTGCCCTAAAAACACTCATGGCACAGCATCTATAACAAAAGATGTGACGCTGGTTCTAAAGACATTCCTTGTGTCGGAGACCTGGACCGTCACTATTCCAGCATTAACGTGACTTCCAATGTATTGCGGCGACTTCATCGGTCTGAATCTCCTTCACCTCTTAATCTAACTTAAAATTTTCATTTAAGTCATTTGGATAACGAAGATTCGCTAACGAGAAAAAAGTGGGAACTGGTCAAGGTGACAAGGCGATTGGGAAAAGGGACTAAAACGCAACGGAGTAACGAGAACACGGGGAAAAGAGACAACAAAAATAATTATTATACTCGTTACTCCCTTAGTAAAAGGGTATACTAGATTAGTCGGAAAGTATGTATATCGATTTAGCGTCGCTTGTGACCGGTTGTGTTTATCTTGTGCTCTGTGATTTTTGTCAATTTGTCATTAATATCTGTGTTACTGGTGCCTTGATTTGTGTCTTAGTCCAACATAACCAGCCGTGCTTGTGTTTTAAATCGTCTAATCGTTTAATTGTCTATTTTATTGTAGCAATTTTAACAAAACCTAACTCTGTTTTTAACCTGTGCATTTTGTTATTGTAACTTCTGTAAGCTGCGGTGCATTTGTTTCAATAGCTTTTGTTGTTGTTTCCCATAATCTGTAATCTCTCTCTCTTGTAATCTCTCTCCCGTTTCTTGCAACTGTTGTCGTGTATATTTTGTTGTGTTTCGCAAGCCACGCTCAGTCGACAGCCACTCTGTCGCGCTCTCTCGCTTTCGCAGTCTCTTCGCGCTCTTATACTTTTGTGTTTTTGTGTGTCTACATTTTTATTGTTTGATCCCAGTGTCAAATTAAGTGAGGTATTTATAATTCTTTTGATACTTTGGTTTATAAACAACTTTTTTTCTTAAATTTAAATACGTAAAATGGCTCTTTTTTGTTCCAAGAAAGATTGTGAGTTTGGATCGTCACCTAATGATGTTTTTATTTATTGTCGTCTCTGCAATACAGTCATTCATCCAAAATGTACTGGACTTGTTGGCAGAGTAAAGATTTTATTGATCTGCGTGTTGGTTTTTCGTGGACTTGTGCCTCTTGCGTTGAAATAGACCGTGATTTGGATGGCTATGTTGCGCTGACCAATGATCGTTTTATGAAACTTTTTGATAAGCTTATGAGCGTAGTTGCTGATTTTAAAGAGTTTAAGGCGGACCTTGATAATAAAAAAATGTCAGTAGGGTCACCTAAACGCAAAAAGACCGCTCTTTCAAAATCTGCTCCCGTAAAGGCATCAGTTCCAAATCCCAACTTAGCTCCAAATATTTGTACCCGATCGGTAACGGCAGCTATGTCGGCATCTACTGGGTCTGGGGGACCTAAAGTTTCTCTGACAGCAGTACCCATAGGTACCAAAAGCTCTGGAGGAGTCCCTGTTTCTGCTAGTCAGACTAAGGGGTCAAACCCTATGCAGCTTTCTGTGCCTACTGGTGAAGTTAGCTCTATAGGAGTCCCTAGTCTTGGTAATCAGACGAACGATGTTCAGATTGCAAATGGTGGAAGAAAGAGCCTCTCGGTTGTTCCATATAGGAAGCAATTATTTGTGTCTCGTTTAACACCTGAAACCACATCTGCAGATGTTTTGGAATTTATACAACAGGAATTCCCATCTCAAAACATCACAGTGGAGGAGTTTAAATTTCCATATGTTCGTATGATATCTTCATTTAAAATATCTGCTCCTCCGGAAGTATTTAATGTACTAAATTCTAAAAGTTTTTGGCTTAATGATGAATTGGTCATTAAAGAATTTGTTCCAAACAGACGGAGAACTAATAATAGGCCTTCCACGACTGTACCTGCGCCAAAAACTGAGCAGCTTATTTTTGGCCTATCAAAATGTTAGGGGACTCAATATGAAACTACCTAAGCTTTATGCTGACTCCTCTGCCTTTTCTGAAGACATTCTGGCCTTTACTGAGACTTGGCTGAAACCGGAGATATCCGAAGTTCTGTCTAAAAATTTTAATACGTATAGAACTGATCGCTCTCCTCGTAGGGGGGGTGGGGTGCTGGTTGCCGTTACCTCTACTTTATCATCGGAGAGAATATACTTTCTTAATCCCAATGACATAGAATTCGTTGGTGTTAAAGTTTCTTTGAAATCTTTTTCTATTTATGTAACTTGTTCTTATATTCCACCTGGATCCGACTTAACAATTTATGAGCAACATTCGTCTGCAATAAAAACTGTTTTATCTCATATTTCCGAAAGGGATCTTTTAATTGTTTTGGGTGATTTCAATCTCCCTGACATTTCTTGGTCCCTTTCCACTGACTCACTTGTCTCTACCCCTTTATCTGACCATGACTTCGTTGCCGGTCTGTTAGAATTATCATTACAGCAAGTTAGCTTTATACGTAATTCACTAAACAGACAATTAGATCTAGTATTTGTTTTAGATCCGTCTGAAGTCACTGTATCTAGAATTGACCCACTAGTTGTGCCTGAAGACCAGTATCATCCCACATTAGAACTTACAATTTGTCTTCCCAGCGTTGATACCCTCTCTCCTTCACTTTCTCCAAATAAATGTAGATGCTTTCGTAAATGTGACTTTAGTAAACTCAACAACTTGATTTCACAATATAACTGGACAAATTTATATAATTGCTTGGATATTGAAAGTGCTACGGAACTATTTTATAGTGTCCTAAACTCTTTTTTCAGTGAATGTGTTCCTGGCAGTTTTCCTCCTAAGTTAGACAGGCCACCTTGGTTTACCAATCAGTTGCAAAGACTTAGAAACCTAAAAACAAACTTCTATAAAAAGTACAAAAAGTCGGGTAGGCCATCCGATTTTTCAAGATATGTGGTGGCTCGTACTAATTTTAATGTACTTAACACTCATTGCTATTCCATGTATTTGAACCAATGTAAATTTGAATTTTCAAAGGATCCGAGGAAATTTTATAACTTTGTCAATGCTAAGCGAAAGTCTTCAGCATTGCCATCATCCGTACGATTAAACTCTATTGAGGCATCTACGGATCCCGAAATTGCAGATTTATTTGCTGAATTCTTCCAATCTACTTATAGTTCTGTTTCATGGTCTAATTCTAGCTACCCTAATCACTTAAACAGGGCAAATTGTATTTTTTCTCCTGTAATCACCGAGAGTTCTCTCTTAAGGGATTTAGAAACTATAACGCCAACCTATTCTCCGGGGCCAGATGGACTCCCTGGGTGTGTTCTTAAGTTTTGTGCCCGAACTATTTGTAAACCCATTCTTAAACTTTTTAATTTGTCTATCTCATCATCTGTTTTTCCTACTATCTGGAAAGATTCTTTTATTATTCCACTCCACAAAAAGGGTGCGAAGGTTAATGCTCAGAACTATAGAGGAATCTCCAAATTGTCTGCAATTCCTAAAACATTTGAACGCATTATTACCTCTCAGTTGCAACATTTGTGCTCCTCTTTAATATCGCCGTGTCAACATGGTTTTGTTAAGCGTAGATCGACCACCACTAACCTGCTCGAATTGACATCTTTTGTACTAGATGGATTTAACAAAAAATTACAGACGGACGTTATATATACAGATTTTAGTAAAGCCTTTGACTCTGTTAACCACTCTCTTCTTTTATTCAAATTAGATCTGCTTGGGTTTCCGAATAATCTGTTAACTTGGATTTCAAGTTATTTGAATGGTAGATCTCAGAGGGTTTTATTCAAAAACGCTGTTTCCAAGATGATCAACGTGACATCTGGAGTGCCTCAGGGCAGTCATTTAGGCCCTTTGCTGTTTACTCTGTTTATAAATGATCTTCCTTCTATCGTAAATCACTCTCGTGTACTAATGTATGCTGATGATGTTAAGCTTTGTTTTTCATATAATAACATTGAATCTGGTTTCTGCTTGCAGTCAGACTTAAATAGATTCCAGTAATGGTGTCAGTACAACCTTTTGAATTTAAACTATCTTAAATGCAACGTTATGACTTTTTATAGGGGTACGCCAACGTTCATGAGTTACTCTCTTCAGAACATGTCCTTGGACCGAATATACTCAGTAAACGATTTAGGTGTTCTCCTAGATCCTAAACTTAAATTTGACTCCCACATAACCTCTACTGTAAATAAGCATCTTGTTGATCTATGTTTTGACCTGTCTTTATTTGTTCTATGTACCTTCCTCGCGAACCGTATTTGCCCGAAATAAAAATGGGCCCGCGCGTAACAAGCACGTGCTTGGTGTCGTTTGGGCCACTTGTTTGTACTGCTCTTAGTGCATCAACGTTCAACAATAATAATAAATAAAGTAAAGTATATAAATTCTTGATCAGCATCACTAGCCGAGTCGATCTAAACATTTCCGTCTGTCCGTCCGCTGATATGAACGTTGTGATCTCGGAAACTATAAGAGCTAGAATATTGGGACTTGCCATGTAGATTCTTGGGCTTCCTGCGCAGCGCAAGTTTGATTCAGAAGTGCGCCACGCCCTCTTCAATCCCATAACCTTTCTCAAAAATTTTGTTAAAACTTAAATGAGTTGTTGTTCTTATTATCAATACCAATCTACATGCCAAAAATTATTCTAATCGAACCATTTGATCTAAATTTTACTGTCGAGCAGTCCGCACAGATTAAGTTGAACAAGATTTCTATGGTCCTTAGTATATATTTTCTAATATTTACGCATAAAGATGAACGATTTGTAATCTATGGTAACTCTTTTCAATTTCAGAGAATACTTAAAATAACAAAAATACTTATGAACACAAAGGAGGATCCTGAGGTCGGGACGTTCCTTGAAGGAGGATACTCTGAAGAATCTGATACAGACTCAAATATTCTTTTGGAGGATAATTTACTTAATAGCCTGGACTATTGGCTTGAAAGATTGTTTGATGGGAGAACACAAAAATACTATATAAATTATTGGCCAGACTTTACTACAAAGTAATAAGCCTAAAGTACCTATGTAAATGAAATGTTTATAACTGAAGCACATTTAAAGTCAAATAATAAATCGGTCCCTTAAATTGTACGTGAACTACACCACATTATGTATTCATTTAGAAACCGATTGGTGTATCACTCATTACGGTTGGACTTTTATGACAGATTTTCAATTAATAAATAATAATAATAATAAAATACGGGGAGTGTGCACCTGAGTGTGCTCAGTCACTGTATATAATTTCTTCCCAAGTATATTTAGGCCCATATACCAACATAATACAATTATTATCGCATTAACAATAGTAAAACATAGAACTATATATCACAGCACTTTCCGCCAACACATTTTGGATCCAGACCGTCAGTACGCCAAAACATTAGCATTCTGCCGACTCCACAAAATCATGTATAGAGCAATAACTTTGCAAGTAACCATGTAGCACTTTTTGCGCTATTGAGAACCTTATAAAATAGTAAGAAAGGAAGAACGCTATAAATTGGTGTAATACCCATTACGGTTGGACTATTATGACAGATTTTCAATTCAGCCACTGTATAAAGTACGGGGAGTATACTTGGTGCGCTCAGTCACTGTGGATTATTTCTTCCCAAGTAAATTTAGGCCCATATACCAACATAATACAATTATTTTCGCATTAACAATAGTAAAACATAGAACTATATATCACAGCACTTTCCGCCAATACATTTAGCATCCAGACCGTCAGTATGCCAAAACATTAGCAATCTGCCTACTCCACAAAATCATATATAGAGCAATAACTTTGCATGTAAGCATGTAGCATTGCGCTATTGAGAACCTTATAACATAGTAAGGAAGGAAGAACGCTACAGTCTAGTACCTCGACTATCAGATACCCATTACTCAGCTTAAGGGACCAAATGGAAGTGGAGATACACAAGCAGCAAAGCGAGATTGAAAGGCGCCACCTACTCGCGATTTCAATATGTGGTTATGTGACGGTAGACTGCTTAAACCGTTATGGGCGTTAGAGAGGGTGTGGCAAACTTTTTTTTGGGTCAATCGATAGGTATTGACGAGATTAATACATTGCGCCACAGGCTTTGGCGGTTTGTGGGCGTTAAGGTTGGGCGTGCCAAACTTTTTTTTGGATCAATCGATAGGTATTGACGAGACTAATACATTTCAGTTACAATTTTTTTATAGCAAGAAAATTGTGGGCGCCACAGGCTTTGGCGGTTTGTGGGATTTAAGGTTTGGCGTGCCAAACTTTTTGTTGGATCAATCGAAAGGTATTGACGAGACTAATTCCAGTTAAAATTTTTTTCTAGCATAAAAATTGTGGGCGCCATAAGTTTTGGCGGTTTGTGGGTGTGGCATATTCGCGTGACAAACTTACTTCGCTATCTTTGATAGTTTCCGAGATATCCGCGTTCATACTTACGAATTTTTGAAGTTTGTGGGCGGTTTGTGGGCATTCTTTTGGGTCAGTCGATAGGTATTGATGAGGGCAATACATGTCAGTTAAAATTTTATTCTAACACCAAAACTGTACGAGCCACAGTTTTGGGCGGTTTGTGGGCGTTAGAGTGGCCGTGGCACCGTGCTGGAGCAAACTTGCGCTGCCTAAAAAGCTCAGGAATCTGCATGCCAATTTCCAATAGCCTAGGTCTTTTAGTTTCCGAGATCTCAGCGTTCATCCGGACGGATAGACGGACATGGCTAGATCGACTCGGGTAGTGATTTTGATCAAGATTATATATACTTTATGGGGTCGGAAACGCTTCCTTCTATCTGTTACATACTTTTCGACGAATCTAGTGTACCCTTTTACTCTACGAGTAACGGGTATAATAGGGTGTTTTTGAGATATTCACTTTTACTTGTGGATATATATTAATTTTACTAATTTAGAAATGTAGAAGGAAAATGTTAACAATATCTGCCATAGAAACGATCGGATAAATAATGGAAAAATAATAGAAAACCATTTTTGACCATATTCTCTTCTACTCCGGTAAATAACATTTTTGTAATATTTAGATTTTCGAATTCAATTTAACAAGAACTGGACTATTATATCATATAGATGTCATATAAAGGATTGGGAAATTAATGACAAAATAATACAAATACCGTTACGTTTCGTTTTCGGTAAACATATACGGTAAATTAAAATGGAACATTAGTAGCTATTATAAGCGGGCAGGGCAACTTTTTTTGACGGTTTTAAATGTAGTATCCGACAGAATCCTTTTATAGCATTTCAAAATATTATCTACTGAGAATCAGCAGGAGAAAGTGCACGGGGATACACACGAGCCCAAGTCTCACCCCTATCCACAAGCAATCGTGTTGAAAGTTTAATTAAAAATGTGCAGTTTATTTTTACAGTAGTGAAAATATACCATTGGAAAGAAATGCTTTCCATTGATACAAAACTTTTTTTAGTGATGAGGTACACTAATCACGGTATCGGCGGTGATCGTCATTAGTTCCATTTTCAGTCTACACTTCAAACCGTCGGAAAAATTGCCCTGCCCGCTTATAGTATTTACTCTCTGACTAAAATTGTAATGGTTGCATTGCAATATAGGCTGGCTGACCCGGTCGTTAGACTCGTGCGGCCAACCGAAATATAATCGCGCCTCAGAGCCCAACTTATGGGAAGTGCTAGTGTCAGCATATTCTCATGCCCTGAGTGCAGTCACATACAACCCATGCATGTACAACTTCTCTCGCGTTCTTGCTGCTATCAGCCAAATACATTTGTAAGCATATAAGTTACATTGATATAGACATGGCGGCCGCTGCCAATGCTTGCAGGCAGCGCTGCCGCGAATAGCTGGTTGTAGGACACTCTAACTTTGAAAGTCAATGAATAAAGTTCTTGCCTTGGCCGATGGCCACTAAGACCAATTTAATTATTTATCCAGGTTCAACAACTATTTATAATATGATGTGAGATCAAATAATGCAAATGGTTTCATTCGTGTCCGGCTAAACATATTTCCCTGCTATAATTCTTCCAAAGTTTGAAAAAAAATGTTGGGAGGCCAAGTGACTATCGGTGGCATCACTTCCATAGTTTAATACTGTTTGCAAATACTCTCTATAATGATAATTATTATTACTTTTCGATTCCAACATATTATGTATATATTATAATATTGGCCAGTGCATTTTTATACCCGCTACTCGTAGAGTAAAAGAGTATACTAGACCCCTTAAAATACATATATTCTTGATCCGGATCACTAGCCGTACCGATCTAGCCATGTCCGTCTGTCTGTCCGTCCGTATGAACGCTGAGATCTCGAAAACTACAAAAGCTAGAAAGTTGCAGTTTGGCATGTAGATTCCTGAGCTCTTCGCGCAGCGCACGCCCACTCTAAGGCCCACAAGCCGCACAAAACTGTGGCCTCTACAGTTTTGTTGCTAGAATACAAATTTTAACTGAAATGTATTTTTCTCATCAATACCTACCGATTGACCTAAAAAGTTTGCCACTACCACAAACGTGCCCACAATCTTCAAAAAATGAACGCTGATATCTCGGAAACTATCAAATTTAGAGAATTAAGATTTCCGATTTAGATTCCGTTGCCTTGTACGCAGCGCAAATTTGTTACGCGAATATGCCAAGCAAACACTAACGCCCACTAACCGCCCAAACCAGTGGCGCCCACAATTTTCATACTAGCAAAAAATTTAACAGAAATGTGTTAGTCTCGTCAAACCTATCGATTGATCCAAAAAAGTTTGCCGCGCCCACCCTAATGCCCACAAACCGCCAAGGCCTGTGGCACCCACAATTTTCATGCTAGAAACAAACTACTAGTCTCGACAATACCTATCGATTGACTCAAAAAAAGTTTGTCTCGCCCACTCTAACGCCCATAACGCTTAAATCTTTCTTCCGCCCACATAACCATATATTGAGTAGGGTAGGTGGTCCAATCTCGCTTTGCTGCTCGCATATCTCCATCTCCCTTTGGTCCATTTAGCTAAATTATATACTATTAATCAATTCCCAGATAACCATGTCCGTGTCAATGTCGTCAAATTTCTCAAGAAACTCTTCGCAAAACTTTGACCGGGTGAAGTTGGAATTCGCCCTATGAAACTTCCAATACCATTCAGTGGCCAGATGATTACTTAAAATGTTCTGATCTGCGTTCAGATTCGGAAGCGCTTAAGACAAAATTCGATAGAGGAATTTTCAGGTCTGTAGACCATCTCGAGCGGCTTCAAACCAGATCCGCCCGCTCTGGATACTGGAACTTTAACCTGGTGGACTGCAACGTTCGACCTGTTGCTTACACCGCTAACCTGGTGACGGTTACCGTTCCCTTTAGCTCCATATGAATTAGACGTTCGTTTGTTCGCCTGTACTGGTAAGTCTATATTTCCCATGGACCTGGTCTAGGAATTTTATTTTGTACTGTTCCCCTGGACGGAGGTCAGAACGTACCACACTAGTAATCTATTTTCGTTGACCGTTTCCGCAACCCCTTTCTCCCCTAGTGCCTGCGGGCCTAGTGAACTGTTGATCGCCAGAGTTATGAATTTGCTCTGCGGCTGAGATATCTGCTTGTAATTTGTTACTCGGAGATGGTGGCGGTGGTGGTCACATTATGTCTTACAAGTTGGTCATGAGTGAGATTTCTGAAGACACTCCAATAATGCTTGCACGGTGCCACTGTTCGAAAGTCTACTGCCTTTAACGGCTTGTTATATTTCTAAGAATATAGCTTCTAAATCTTTACTACTATGATTTTCTGAACCAATGTTAGCTAACAAAACCGGCACCCAACAAATTACGCAATAGCCAAGTTGGAAATAGTACCAGGCGCCCAGTTGCACCCACTGCAGTTGAGAAGTTCTGATCAGCATTTTATATTTAGTGTCAACGCATGACTCGACTCTACAGTACCTTCACCCGCAAAGCAGTCAACACATTCTGCAGTGCCAGCCGTGCCAATTCGACAGTACATTCACCCGCCAAGTCAACTTCTCAAACTGTAAAGTCCTATTTTAAAATAAAACTAGTGACACTTTTCACTATACTAAACTTTCGTGTTCCGAGTAGTATATGA